CGTTCGGTGAAATCTGACCCCCACAGCCTCACAATACCATTATCCCATTTCTACCCTTTCCCATTCTAAAACTAATCTTTTTATAGTTTTAACATTCCAATAGTCATGCTCTTCATCTCACATTTACATGACAAACTATAAATTGGAATTATTCTTTAGTCACGAATAGTCAATAAATGCTTATTTTACCTTCTAATCCCTGTGGATACGATATTTTTACTACTTGAACGGCCGGTATACTTGCCGTGTTTGAGACCGTTGATAGAATTAAACTGATTTACAATTATAACAAAAGTACTTCAACGGAAATCTCAACACAATGTTTGTCAGAAATAACATGTACTACTTTTTCTTCCTTTTTTTTTTGCTTTCTCAACCCTCTAAATTACATATTTATATTTTATCTAATTTATTTTTTACCCTCTTTGTTTAATTTTTATTTCACATGATAATCTTTGTCAAAAATAGAATGTATTACTTTTTTCATCTTTTTTTTACTATTCCCAATTTGTCACACATAATATGAGATTCACAGTCACATGATAATCTTTGTAAAAAATATAAGGTACTATTTTTTTTCATTTTTTTTACTATTCTCAATTTTTCACACATTTTATCTATAATATTATTTTTATTGTCCTTCTATATTTGTATTAATTAACAAATAGCTTCAAATTATATTTAATTAGTAAATTAGTAATTATATAAATAATCATATTAATTAATAGTTAAGAGATTAAATTTAATTAAACTGTTCATTATAAAAAAATAAAATACAAAATATAAAACATTTTTTTTCAGTTAAACTATAATGTGTGATAATTTAAAATTATGGTTAATATGTAATTATATATGAATTAATGTTAATTATAAATTATCCGTTTCAAAAAAATAATAAATATTATAGTAATTAATATTAATATTGATGTTAATTATAAATCATTATTAAAAAAACTCTTTTGTCAAAATCTAATAATTATTATTAATTGACATTTATGTTCATTAATAATAAAAATAATAATTTTTTTTATTAATATTAATTTTAAACAACAGTTAAATGTTTTTTTGGCAGACCTCTCGACAATTAGATTTGTATATGAAAAGTTACATATTTAAAAATATTAAATATATGTATATTCTTTATTATTAATTTATTAATTTGATAAAGTATTAAAATAGATTGTTTTATAATTTAGTTATAAAAACTATTTACTTGGATACATTACCTTTAATTATGAACTTTTTAAAAGATTATTTACTTGAATCTTATATTTTTGAATTTGAATCTAAAATAAAAAATAAAAAATGAAATATTATATAAATATAAATATAAAAAATATTTAATAAATTTTTTTTCTTTACAAACAAGAATAAATTTATTTTTTTGTAAAAAATCAATAACAAATTCATATTACATAATTAAAAAAATTATATATATAACTTATATATTAACTAACAAAATAATATTTTTTAATCGTGTGGGTCTATGTCTAATTGGTTTTTAATATTAGAGGTGACAAAATTTCTCCGATTATATATTTGGATATTAACTTTCATCAACATTTACAATTTGGGTTAATCCAACTTTTAGGCCATATGACCTGCTATGTAAGTTGGACCTTAAATCTAAACTTATTAACTGAGTTGTTCCACTGAGTCAAGCATTGAAAATGAGTTTGACATTGATTGAGCCTAATATGTTGGTTCGGGTTAGATTGAATCACTTTATTTATTTTAATAATTATATATATAATTTTAGAAAATAAAAAAATAACAACAATGTGATATATTGAGCTTAATTTTTACCGGTTAGTTTAGTATGCCAATTAATTGAACTTTTTTATAAATAGTAGAAGTGCGTTTGAAATCTATTTGCATCAATACAAACAAAAATTCATACATTCTAATGCATTAAATTAAAAAGAAAGAATTCTTTTTTATTTTTCTCTGTTCAACGTGATTTTGTTGATTTTCAATCATTAAATAAACATGCAACATTACTATATTTTGTTCTCATAGAAATTTACCGGCTTGGTTAAAATGGACAAAACTCGATCATACAATTCGTTAAATTACATTAACATATCATATCAGCTAAAAGGTTTAATCAAAAAGATAAATTTAATTACAATATTCACAGTGCACATAAATCGGAACAAATATCTTATCCACAAAAAAAAATAGTTTAATCTCAAGAAAAGTATATATAATATAAATATTAAGAAATATCAAGAAAATGATAAACTGACTTAAGTATGAGAGTTATTTTGGTAAGTACTCCCTCCAACTAAAGAAGAAGAGAGAAATTGCATCATCAAAAGAGGGAATTAGACGGAAAGGGGATCTTGCCCAGCCATATCAGCATCTAAGCTATTCGTGATGAGAACATAAATGATCCTTGCTATAGGAAGGGCACGGTCAGAATGATAGAGAGAAAGTTAGTGAGAGAGAGAGAGAGAGGGGACAAGAGGGCGAGGAGTTTAGCCATGAAGCACGATCTCTACCTTCTTTGCTAAATTTTCATGGGAGTTTAAAGAGGTTGACTTGTGGAAAGTATTCCAAAGGTGGAATAGAGTGTGGGAGGTGTTCATTGCCAAAAATAAAGGAACGGGTCGGAACAATGTTTTGATTTCATAGACATCTAGAATGTTAGGCATGCAGCTCGAACATAATCTTGACAAAATATAATTGGGCAACACAAAATGAATGTTAATGTTCCAAAGTATAAGAAGGACGAATGGAAATCAATTGAAGGGAAGAGTGACAGAAAGGAGGAGGATATATGTAACAAGTCCCACATCGGGGAGGTCTCCTTACCAGGGAGGCCTTATAAGGCGGGAGGTTCTCCAACCTCTTGGGCCGGCTTTTGAGGGATAGTTCCCCTCCTTAGCCTTATGCTCAACACAGGCCCAAATTTAAGGTGGAAAATGAAAAACATAGTCTCTAAAGATGTAGAAGACGATGTGTGGATGGACAAGCTCGAGTCGTAGATGAGACGAGAGAGCTAAAAATGAGGTATTTAGGGGGTGACATGGTGCTCATCACTAGCGTGGATGAAACTACATTACAGAATACGAATTCTAATGAAGATGAAGGACTTTGGTCATTGTTCCGCTCAATTCAGAAATGGAGCCCAAGTATCTCCGCGGGAAACAGGTTAGCATGGGATGCACAGGGATACCAATTTACACATGGGGACAAGACTATTTTGGAAGTGTAGCAAGTATTTTTGGAACAATCATCTCACTAAATATTTTTAATATCTTGGGCCGGCTTTTGAGGGATGGTTCCCCTCCTTAGCCTTATGCTCAACACAGGCCCAAATTTAAGGTGGAAAATGAAAAACATAGTCTCTAAAGATGTAGAAGACGATGTGTGGATGGACAAGCTCGAGTCGTAGATGAGACGAGAGAGCTAAAAATGAGGTATTTAGGGGGTGACATGGTGCTCATCACTAGCGTGGATGAAACTACATTACAGAATACGAATTCTAATGAAGATGAAGGACTTTGGTCATTGTTCCGCTCAATTCAGAAATGGAGCCCAAGTATCTCCGCGGGAAACAGGTTAGCATGGGATGCACAGGGATACCAATTTACACATGGGGACAAGACTATTTTGGAAGTGTAGCAAGTATTTTTGGAACAATCATCTCACTAAATATTTTTAATATCATACATGCATTGTGACTAGGGATGGCAAAACGGGCCAGCCCGGCCTGTTTTGGCCCGCCACGCCATTGGCCCGCCAAAAACGGGCTGGCCCGGGCCAGCCCGCCCACGTAAAACGGGCTAGAGATGCTGGCCCGCCCCGTCTAAGGACGGGTTGGCGAGCTAGCCCGCATACAAAAATAAAAATGAAAAAAAATGAAAAAAAATATATTTTATGTTCAAATAATTTTTTTTTACTACAAATAAATAAATATAACCATATAAAATTAAAAATCATACATATTGTACATAATATATGTTCAACAAAAACAAATTACAAACTTAGAACAAAATCAAATAGAAATTAGTCCATTTACACCAAAATTAAAACCAAATTATAAACTTACACAACTAAATTTTTTGATAGTTCACAAAACAAGTTTAAATACAATTAATTAACTTTAAATTTTTATTTTAAGAATATTAGAAGCTCTTTTAGAAGAAGATGTCTCTACTTTTTTTTTCTTGATCATCTTCATCCTCATCTTCTACATCAAAATAAAATAAACATAAAAATAATTAAATTTAAAAAAATATATATGTGGGCCGGCCCGTTATTTGACCCAGCGGGTTGGCGGGCTTGGTGGGGCGGGCTTGCACGAGTTGGCAGATTGAAATAATGGGTCCGGCCCGCCAATTTTTGGCGGGCCAACAGGCCGACTCGCGGGCCATAACCCACTTTGCCATCCCTAATTGTGACGGACGGTCGACTGTTCTTCTGAAATTAAAGGCTTAAACCCCCTGTTTCTGGTAAGTGGTGAAAACCTGGCAGAAACAACTAAGAGTGAGAAAAAGTTGGACTAATTATTATTTCACTAAAACACAGAAAAGAGTTTTCCATACATTAATTTCCCTTCAATAGCTTCATTAAGAGCTTCTCTCTCAACGAGAAACATGGGAATTTGCTGATCTATTCTCATCTGCATTCCTTCAAAGTAATCTCCGATGGAATGGTAGAGGGGCTAGCAATCACCAATATCCGATGAAAATAAGTATCCATGCAGCCCAAGCAATTTCCATACATTATCTCTTGGTTGAATCCACCACACATTCTTCTGTTCAATGGCAAAATACACATTATTAATTGTAAATGGTACCAAAATATCTTGCTTTTCCTTTTGCTTAGATATTTACATAGAACGCTACCCACAAGCACATGCTACAAGTTTCTTTTTCCCTTTTTAAGGTTGTTTAGAAGGAATAGATTCAGATTCCTTTTGCAACTTGATTCATTGAAACAAGTCAGAAATGATGCTGCAGGACCATCAATTATTCGATGTGAAGTAAATTTCAAAGTATTTAGTCAACAACAATTATGCAATTAATTACAAAATATGCACGCATAATGTGAAAATATCTTGACCTCTGAGCATGAGGAAAAAAGGTGATTGGCCAATATAACAAACCTCAACCACCTTACAGTGGACCAAATTGAAAACACGATGTTTGGCATTTACCGACTGAATTAGGAGAGATTTTACCTATATTCGATAGGGTTCGACAGGGTTTGTTTGTGGAGATTGTTGAACACGATGAGGTTGAGAAAGCTTACTAGAAATGGAAAAATGTGTGTGCTCTAACATGAAGTCGAAGTGGGTCATCGGCATGCGAGGGAAAGGAGGAGGAGCAATGGTGGGGGAGAGCCTTGGGAAATAGAAAAATTAAAAAGGAAAAAAATGAAAAAATTTCAGCCAAATTCGTCTTTCATTTGATTCTTAATAATTGCTTTTACTTATTATTTCTTGTACCGACAATTATTTATTAGTTATTAGTTTCAATCTCTCTTCCATCTCTATTTTTGTTTTACCCTCATTATTTTGAGCGGTTCTACCCATTATTTTGTGGGGTTAGATGTAACCAACGAAACTCTTATGTAATCTTCACGTTATTAATGATATATATATATATATATATATGTTGTTTCGTTCATTATTGTGTATGTTTCTATTCTTAATGCTTGCTTTGGCTTGATTCTCTTTTGCTTGATATAGAGTCCATTGGGTATTGAAAAATAGCCTTTTGAACTAGCTCTAAAACAAATACCTAGTGGGAATGTATCTAGGAATGGAGCTTGACCATTAGTAGTCTTAAACCCTAACCCGTAATGCAGGTATATGTATTGGATACTCAAAGAATTGATATTTATTATCTGCACCTAGGCTCTTGCTCTAAGGGATTAAGTTTGAGTAAACTTATGGGTTGACTAGGCAATGAATGTAACAAGAGAACAAAGATTCATCAGAGTAAAGTTCGATGACATCTGACCCCACAATCTTACAAAATCACAATATCATTTCTTATCCCTTCCACACACACACTAATTATATCATGAGTTTGAAATTCTAATAGTCATAACCTTTATTTGAATTGCATGACAATCTATGAAAAATTAGAATTATTCTTTAGTCACAAATAGTCATTAAATGTTTATTTTACCTACTAGCCCCTGTAGATACAATTTAAATTTACTACTTGAACGACCGATAAACTTGCCGTGTTTAAGTCCGTTAATAAAATAAAATTAATTTATAACAAAGACAAAAATTAATGTCAACAAAGATCTCAACAACTTACTGTGTTTTAACACAATGGTTCCATTTGTTTTACTTAAAAAGTACAGTTTTAATATATTAAATGAAAGTTTAATTGATTAAACTATTTTTTTTTAAGAAATTTGTTCACTATTTCTCTTTGATTGAGGGTAAGGTATGGAACTCAAACCTTTTTATTTCTCACTTCCTTTATTTTTTATTAAAAAGAGAAATTTACTTTTAGTGTCACTCTTTTCTTCTTATTTATTTTTAAAGCAACCTTTGTTTCAGCAATTTTTATATCCATATATTCTAAATACAGACCAAGCCAGCACTGCCACAAACACACATAATGACACAAATGACAATCACCTATGCAGAGGACAGAGACAATTTGCGAGTCCCACATCGGAAGCTATACAATAAGGTCTAGCCTTTCCCACTAGGTATTTGTTTCAGAGCTAGTTCAAAAGGCTATTTTTCAATACCCAATGGACTCTATATCAAGCAAAAGAGAATCAAGCCAAAGCAAGCATTAAGAATAGAAACATACACAATAATGAACGAAACAACATATATATATATATATATATATCATTAATAACGTGAAGATTACATAAGAGTTTCGTTGGTTACATCTAACCCCACAAAATAATGGGTAGAACCGCTCAAAATAATGAGGGTAAAACAAAAATAGAGATGGAAGAGAGATTGAAGAACCAAAGGAAAGACCCATACACGAACAATCTCAAGTACCGGGAATCCCTTCCATAGCTCCTAGAAGTCGCCCAATGTGTGAATGAGGGAATGAGTCTCGAAGATTTGATCAAATACAAGCTGGGGGAGACATGATAGGGTTTCTATATATATATATATATAGTATTGATAAAAAAATTGTCATTTGTATGACATGACCTTGCATATATAGGATAGATTCTTAATCAAACGGTATGTCAGATTAGTTAATTTGCTGAAAACAAAATTTTCATCGATGAAGCGATCTCGCGCTGGTGGTGCTGGCATGGTGACAACTATATATGAAAGCTATTCCTTTGTCTTCACTATTAAAGAAATATATCAGAACCTTTCTCATGTTTAAAACTTTTGGGCATCTTTAATTCATTTTTTTTATTTTTACTTCTTGTCAGTTTAAAATGTAACCAGGAAGCTAGATTATATTTTCTTTTGTCTGATGTTATTTTGTTGTGGACAAATGATGTCGCCAATAACATGTTTTGTTTTTACTTAATTATTGGTGAAGGCGGAATCTATCTGTTTGTACATGAAAACAAAATGATTATTATATCATTTTATAATTTTTTTATTAATCTCTTTATTACTTTTTTATAGAAAATATTTTAAATATATATATATATATTAACTTGAAATACAAAACGTATTCAATACTTAATAGAAAGATTAACTAGTAGGAAGTGATATTAAAGAATTCAGACTTATTCAACGAAAATAGAAAAAATATAAATAGCAATATATTTTCTTTTATTTTATGTGATTAAAAAGAAAATAAAAATAAGAGAAACATGATTTTTAAATATAAGAATTAAATTTTTTTAATCTTGCCTTATATTTTTTCCCTGTAAAACAAGGGAAGGTTAATGTCTAATCTTTTTGTTCACCTATAAAAGACTGAGTCATCAACTGAGAGCACCATGCCTTCTGCACATAATTTCATTACAACATTAACTTAAATTACGTACTTGTTTTTTTTTTTTTTTAATCCAAAACCATAAAGGCAAACATATTAGCTAGCTGTTTTAGAATTTGTATTTTTATATCATTTATTGGTGAGAGATGAATCTCTTTTAATTTTCCAACAAGAAGTGTAACTATAGAATTGAGAACACAAAGCCAGCAGTAAGGTTCTTCTGACATGACAGTAATACTACTAACTAATTAACCATCTTATTAATAAAACACAATGCTATATGATTATTCATTATGTTATTCTAAAGCACTGGCACCCAGCAATTTGGTTAACCCAAAAGTGATGGACATGGCTATCCACCCCCCAAGAAGGAACCTTATACAGAACTTTACCGAATGAGTTTTCCCTAGGTGAGCCACCACCTTTCCAAACACCACCAAAGCCAAGCTAGCCATTACCACAACCACAATAACCCTCTTCTTGTAATCTGCTATGAAAGCAGCTGAAAGTAGAGGCACCATTGCACCTATAGAAAAGGACAATGCAGAAGCCAAAGTAGCATGAAATGGATTAGGCAATGTTTTTTTCTCCATCTCCATCTCCAAGTCTCTCTCCCCTCCCACACTCCTCATATTCATGTCTCTCTTCATTTGACCAACCTCCACATCTAATTGAGTGTACACAGCAACAAACTCTCCTATTGCCATGCCACAAGCCCCTGCAACTAACCCTGCAAAACCACTAAGTAGCATAGCCTTTGCATCTCTTTTAACAGCTCCTACACCCATCATCAATGAAGCAACCGAAACCAACCCATCATTGGCTCCTAAAACAGCTGCACGAAGCCACTGTGCCCTTCGTAAATAGTCAATGCTGTTGTTGTCTTCGGTGACTAGGATTTGGTTTTGATCAACTTTGTTTGCTGGACTTGAAAGCACTGCCTCTACGTGGTTATTGGGTGACACGGAACCATTGGGTGTACCGTTGGCCATTTTTGGTGACACAACAACCATGGAGGAAGAGAGAGAGAGAAAAAAAAATGAAGACGAGGCTTGAGCAGTTAAACACTTCTTAAGAATAACAGAGAGGTGATTCAGAGGGATAAATAGTGAAAGATTCGCTTGTTTACGCTTGTCTTGCATGGGCATTCGGCCAGACGAAAAAAAAATATGTATATGAACCGTTCAGATTCATAGAAGACTTAGAAAACAAAGCATACCGACTAGAAGAGATCGACAGCAAGACCATCCCGCGAACTTGGAATGCCACTCATCTCAAGTTCTATTTTAGCTGAATTGTATAAATGGGATGTCATTGTTGGATCCCAATTTACTCTATTTGATTCTGACTCTAACTTGCAGGTACAACTGTGAAAGGTGCTGTGGATGACCTTGATCTGGTTATAAAGAAACTTGGAGAAGCAGGATTTTCACATGACAGATTCTACATCCATTGTGATGGGGCTTTGTTTGGTCTCATGTTGCCTTTTGTCAAACGTGTAAGTGTTGAAATGTTTCTTTTTACCGTTCATTTTTTCGTTGCTACCCTCTCGTATTTTCTTACACAATTCAGGATTTGTTATCCTGCTTCTCTTCATGGTTGTCATTTTAACAAACAAATTTCAGTTTTACAAGCATAACCCTACAATTGAAGAGCATTTACGATATAAAGTCTAACTTTAAAGGCATCAAGTTATCGTATATTACAAATTTTACTATACATAATGTTAGAAACGAACATTTTTTTAATGCTTGTTCATCAACTAAATTTATATATCCCGATCTACCATTGATTATTTAAACTGCACTAGAAACTTTACAAAAACAAATGTACAAGAAACTGATTCAATATTCCAACTGTCATTTCAATGTTTTCTCAACCCTAATAAAATTTAAACATGTGACATCACTCAGAATAATTACTCATGTGATAGATATATGTAAACATGACCACGTTCTATATAATAAGTCTGTTAGTGTTTGCATATACCAAAAAAAATACTATATATTTTCTGTATAGAAACTCTTCTAGACTTGTTTGGATGCGTTTATGTATTGAACTGAGTTGATGATGATTTTGTAACGTGAAATGTGATCTCATGATGATCAGGCTCCAAGAATTTCATTCAAGAAGCCTATAGGCAGTGTGAGTGTTTCTGGTCACAAATTCGTGGGGTGCCCCATGCCCTGTGGGGTGCAGATAACACGAGTGGAGCACGTGAAGGCCCTTTCGAGGAACGTGGAGTATCTGGCTTCAAGGGACGCCACAATCATGGGAAGCAGAAACGGGCACGCCCCCATATTCCTGTGGTACAGTTTGAACATGAAAGGGTACAGAGGGTTTCAAAAAGAGGTGAACAAGTGTTTGAGGAATGCACACTACTTGAAAGGTCGTCTTGTGGATGCTGGCATTGGAGCAATGCTCAACGAGCTCAGTAGCACCGTTGTGTTCGAGAGACCTCACGATGAGGAGTTCGTGCACAAGTGGCAGCTTGCATGCCAAGGGAACATTGCCCATGTTGTGGTCATGCCCAATGTCACCATCCACAAACTTGATCATTTTCTTCAGGAGCTTCTGCAGAAGCGTGCTGTGTGGTTTAGGGATGGTAAGGCTAGACCTTATTGTATAGCTTCCGATGTGGGACTCGCAAATTGTCTCTGTCCTCTGCATAGGTGATTGTCATTTGTGTCATTATGTGTGTTTGTGGCAGTGCTGGCTTGGTCTGTATTTAGAATATATGGATATAAAAATTGCTGAAACAAAGGTTGCTTTAAAAATAAATAAGAAGAAAAGAGTGACACTAAAAGTAAATTTCTCTTTTTAATAAAAAATAAAGGAAGTGAGAAATAAAAAGGTTTGAGTTCCATACCTTACCCTCAATCAAAGAGAAATAGTGAACAAATTTCTTAAAAAAAAATAGTTTAATCAATTAAACTTTCATTTAATATATTAAAACTGTACTTTTTAAGTAAAACAAATGGAACCATTGTGTTAAAACACAGTAAGTTGTTGAGATCTTTGTTGACATTAATTTTTGTCTTTGTTATAAATTAATTTTATTTTATTAACGGACTTAAACACGGCAAGTTTATCGGTCGTTCAAGTAGTAAATTTAAATTGTATCTACAGGGGCTAGTAGGTAAAATAAACATTTAATGACTATTTGTGACTAAAGAATAATTCTAATTTTTCATAGATTGTCATGCAATTCAAATAAAGGTTATGACTATTAGAATTTCAAACTCATGATATAATTAGTGTGTGTGTGGAAGGGATAAGAAATGATATTGTGATTTTGTAAGATTGTGGGGTCAGATGTCATCGAACTTTACTCTGATGAATCTTTGTTCTCTTGTTACATTCATTGCCTAGTCAACCCATAAGTTTACTCAAACTTAATCCCTTAGAGCAAGAGCCTAGGTGCAGATAATAAATATCAATTCTTTGAGTATCCAATACATATACCTGCATTACGGGTTAGGGTTTAAGACTACTAATGGTCAAGCTCCATTCCTAGATACATTCCCACTAGGTATTTGTTTTAGAGCTAGTTCAAAAGGCTATTTTTCAATACCCAATGGACTCTATATCAAGCAAAAGAGAATCAAGCCAAAGCAAGCATTAAGAATAGAAACATACACAATAATGAACGAAACAACATATATATATATATATATATATCATTAATAACGTGAAGATTACATAAGAGTTTCGTTGGTTACATCTAACCCCACAAAATAATGGGTAGAACCGCTCAAAATAATGAGGGTAAAACAAAAATAGAGATGGAAGAGAGATTGAAGAACCAAAGGAAAGACCCATACACGAACAATCTCAAGTACCGGGAATCCCTTCCATAGCTCCTAGAAGTCGCCCAATGTGTGAATGAGGGAATGAGTCTCGAAGATTTGATCAAATACAAGCTGGGGGAGACATGATAGGGTTTACACGCCTGACGCGTTATACTTCGCGCCTGGCGCAGGGTCTTCCAGAGAGGTAATTACTCTCTGTCTCGAATCACGCCCGGCGCGGATGTGCTTATGCCCGACGTAATGTCTTCCAAAGAGTTTTGAGTGCTCTCTGTTTTGAAGCTAATATGCTTTCTATTACACTTTTTTTTATTTAAATATATTTTAATCAGTCAAATTTTAAATTAATTTTTTTAATTATGTAATTTTAAGAAAATATATTTTAGGTATTTTTTTTAAAATGTTATTAATGAGCCTATCAAGTAAAATTAACTTATTATTAAATCTATTGTATAAAAAATCACTTAGTAAAAAACGAGACTTTTACATCACATCTTTCTCATCAGACTTAACAAAAACCGACGTAAAAAAGATGTGGCGACATTTTTGTAATTTTTGTGAACTTTTTTACGTAGGGTTCGACGTAAAATATACAATCTATGTCGGACACAACATACAACCGACGTAAATTTTACATTTTACGTCGGATCCTACCAGGTCTGACGTAAAAAAGTAGCGAAAGCGAATAAAAATAGTGCATGGGAGGTACACGCACGCACGCACTCAATCGGATCATCACTTTTCTAGATTCTTCTCTATATAAACCCTCTCTCTCTCCTTTGTTGCTAAATCATTTTTTCTATCTTCTACAGAGTGGGGTAAACTCTTCATTACTCGTTCACACATTGTTGCGACTCAGGTATGAATCGCTAACACCTTTTTGCTTCACATTGCTATTGTGACTATTTGTTCTATTCAGTCTTTATGTTATTCTATTTGTTTGAGTTGTTGGCTTTTTCTGCTGGGTTGTTCTATCAAGCAGAACATCCCGTTCTTCAAGCAGAACGGTTCGTTCTGCTTGTACTCATTATGTTTTTTTTGTTTACAACTTTTTTACGTCGGATCTTGGTAATGTTCGACGTAAATTTACGTCGAATTTTACAACCGACGTAAATTTACGTCTCTCGCTTTAACGTCTGACTTTTTTCTGACGTAAAAAGCTTAAAATAACTCACGTAAATTATCTATTTTGTACTAGTGATTCCTAGTATCTTTATTAATAAAAATATTATATTAATAAATTTAGTTAGTATTGTATAATTATCTCAACTTATTACTGTACTATCAATTATGTTATAGATTGTTCTAAAGAACTAAAATAAGATTTTTGTTATCATTATTAAAACTATAAAAATCAATTTTACATTTGACATCGAAAATAAATTTATTCTAAATTTAAAAGATTAAAAATAAGTATAAGCTAATTTTTTTTATTATTCGTTAAACTATCAATTTAAGATATGATTAATATATTTTTATAAGGCTTAGGATTTTTTTTTGTTTTAAATTAGCCTTTGCAATTGAGTTAGGTTTAGTTCATTTTAATAAGTAGATAATATATTTAAAATATTTAAAAGCATGCATCTTCATACCCAAAGGAAAATTGTTTAAAAACAACATATACTAAATATTTGTTTTTTTAGAGAAATATATATTAAATCTTGAACGTTTGCAAATAACGCATCCATACATAAATTTTTAACTGTTCGGTCATCTCCAAATAGATCATTTTGCATTTTAAATTCCATTTGTTGGGAGGAAAATTGATTTGAGGAAGAAAATTTTGAATTATAAAACTCAACCTTTTATTTTATTTCTATATTCTGTTTAATTAAACAACGTAAAATATATTTTTATTTGTATTTTTTTTTCTCTTTTATCCAAACTCATGATCACTCTCTTCAAGGACGAAATCAATCAATAATTTGTAAATTAAATATAGATAAACAAGTGTCAATAGCCTTCGCCAATATTATAAATTTATATATACTTAGACCATCTTGAATGGGCAAAAACATAAGGATCAAAATGTTTAGTGATAAATAAATATACCAAATTATGAATGGGAAAGGGGCAAAAAAAAAAAAGTCAAATTGTGTGCCTTTAGTATATTTATGAATTTAATTTATTGCTACGAAGGCCATAGTAATTTTTAGGTTAGAATATTACTCTAGAAGTAGTTCAAACTCGTACATTTGTTGGATAAAAAAACTCATATATTTGTCCCGTGTCACAACCCTAACTTTGAAATTAAAATACAACATTTTATGAAAGTACCTAATACACAATCTTTCAAGGTTTATTTGTTCAACCTAATTTGTAATTCTCAGTAACTGTCGCTCCTTTCTCTAATTACTTCATATTTGCCATTTTAGAATTTTTTTTTATTAATTTGTCATTTTAAAGTTATTAAACAGAAAAAAAAAATAATACGAGAGGTAATTAAAAACAACAATTTTAAATTTGAGGAACCAAAAATAAATTTATCTTAAATTTAAGGGACTAAAAACATATTTAATTTGTATTATAACAAAAAAATACTTTTATTTATTGATAATTTTTTTAAAATAATATTTAATATATAAATAATTATAATATATAAAAATCAAATTAGATAAGATATTAATTGAATTAGATAAAAAGTTAAAAAAAATTTACAAACTCTTTTGTTGAATAAAAATCTCTAAAAAATTCTCAAATAAGATAGAAATTCATGTTTAATATATAAAATTTGATTTATTCTTTTACATTAACTCTCTTAATAGAATTGATTTTTTTTTTGTAAGTAATAAAACAAAAACAAAACAAAATAAAATGGTAAGAGAGAGAGAAAATAATTTGTGGTAGATTCTTTTTTTTTTTTGTCTTTTTCTTTAAAATTTTGGGTCACTATTTTATTGATGCCAAATATATTTAATTGATATTTATTGATGTTGAGATATTTTCTTTCAACTATATATTTTTCATCCATAAAACACAAGCTCAAGTATTACTCAAAAGATTTGAACCTAATGTTAATAATAGTAATAAATAAATGATATTTAAATAAAAGGATATCAAGTTTCTTACCTCTCCCTTACATGTACCCACAAACACACTCTAACACATAAATAAACAAAATATTCATGCATAAAAATACAGAAACAATTACAACAAACATTAATGACTAATCCAACATGTTATGTTGTTGTCCAAGTGAGAATGAATGCAAATTCAAGTTTTGTGTATAAAAAAAAGTTAAAAAGAGAGATCTTGTAAAAAATAATCAATTATATTTTAGTCATGATTAATTGTGAGAAAGAGGGATGCTAGTAGTACACTTTTTAAAATATTTCTCTTTACACAATATATTCTTATAGGTTAAAATTTATTAAAAACTACAAAGTCAAGATAGAGAATGTTATTAAATAGGATATGGTCTTACTAGATATTTGTGTTTTCAATAAATTTCAATCAATTAAATGGAGAGTGTTTAAAAAAGTACGTTGCTATCACTTCTCATATTAATAATGTTAGTTAATATTCTGCATCATCACTTATGACAGTTAAAAAAAACACCAGGGACAAATACTTCCTCTGAATTTATATATAAGCAAAAAAAAACCTACAATTTTTGAACTTAAGTATAACTAACTTCTAACTAATTTAACTCTATTTAATGCTATTATTTTAAAAACATTCCTTAAATTAAATGTGATTACTATTTTCAATAACTATTATTAATGGTACTTTAAGAAATAAAATTTAGGTTTCATATAATTATATAAATTTAACTAATTTTCTTAATATGTGTACATTTAGATATTTTTCTTATACATGTAGGGGTGTTCATGGATTAGATTAATTCGGCAAACCCGACAATCAGAATCAAGCTAATTAAGTTGGTTTGAATATTTTTTGTTCGAGTCCAACCTGAACCAAACCAATTAAACCTAATGTTAATTGATTTGTGTATTGAATTTATATATTTAAAATTTGAACTAACTCAAATCAAATCAAATAATTTATATATTATTATTATTATTATTATTTTTATTTGGTTAACAATTAATATGTGTGTATCATTTTGATTACTTTGAAGACGTTTTTATGTTATAATATGTATATTTTTTCATTCTTTTTTCAAATACTTAAAAGAAATCAAGAAGAATTATAGTATAATATATTGAGTGTCACTTTTACATACTGTAGTGCATTTGAAATCTTTAAATAGATTAAGAAAAAAAACTAAGAAGATAAAATTATATTACAAATCTATCAATTTAGTTAATGTTAAAAAAATCTATTTACTTTGAGAAAAAAAATTATTTTTTAATTTAATTATTTTGAAAAAAATGAACAAATAAAAATTGGCAACCCATAAAACAAAATAGAAAGTAGACCGGAGTACATGCCTATTATTAAAATTAGTATGGAAAAGAGACACTTGATGTCTTTTAATTTTTTGAAATTAAATTTTTTTTTAAAAATAATTTAAGAGTGATTATAAATAATTATTCATTAAATAGAAAGCCTTTTTTTTTTCTCTTAAAAATATGATAACCCAATAAAAGAAAAGATAAAAAAAAACAGTTACATTAACTGTTTCTCCTTTTATAGATGACAAAAAGAAAGAGGTTGAGAATCATAAATTGGGCTAAAGCCCTGTTGCAAAACAGTGTAGATGGGGCTGGGGCCGAATTCTATAGACAGAGTTACTAAAAATTTACATAACTAAATTCAGTGAGAGAAGCAAATAGGAAAGCAAGCTAAACCCTACAAAGAAAAGATAAAAATTTAATTTCATTTTTTTTGCCATTGGTCCTTATTATTACCATCTAATTTCAAAATTATATATTTTCTTATCTGACTTTTAAAATTTTATGTATTTTTATCATCTTATTAATTGATCATTTGATGTCGTTAATTAATTATTGATATGTCATGTCAATTACGAACATGACATATTAATCATTGACAAAATACATTAATTATTAATGTATCACATTATTATTATATTATCATATGCATGTCACACTAACATTTTATGTCAATAGCTAACAATTCAACATGTTATTTATAATTAATATGTCACATTAATAATAAAATAAGAATGATAAAATATGTAAAATTTTGAATGATAAATTCCTAAATGTATAATTTCAAAAGTTGAGTGAATTTTTTTTTAAAAAATAAAATATAAAATATGAGTGATAAGAAGTATAATTATATGCTGGTGACCATGTTTAGAAATTGAGACCTAAGACAAAATTTCTATTCAAATTTTAATTTAATATATATTTTTTTTTTAGTGAAGCATGTGAGCATGTGATTTTACTATTAAAATTTCTCACCAAAACATCAATTTTTTTATAATTATCATAAATTTGTTCATTAAATTTATTCTCTAGTTGTTTCAATGTTTACTTTAGAATGGGGTGAGGTAGAATTCAAAATAGATGAAATATTTTTCTGAATTTTTTCAAATACATAATAAGGTTATACTTAAATAATTTATAAAAATATTTATATTCATATATTATGATTGTAGAATTTTACTAATCAAAATAGCAATAAATAACATATCATGATAAAACTCTCACCTAATAATTAAAATTAATAATAAAGAATTTATTAAAAATATAAACAAACTTTGAGACCTTAAGTAATTTAGTGTTCTAAGGCAAAGGCTTCGTTTACCTTGTGGCTTAGACGGCCATGATTACGCTAAAGCTAAATTTGATAAACTTGTCCTATAGCAGATATTTGATAACTCTTAAAGTAAAATAGGTTAAATAAATTTTTAGTTTTTTATAATATATTAATTTTCCGTCCATAAATTAGTTCTTAGGGTTAAATATTCTCTATTAAGTGGTGGTATATGTTAATAAGTAATAATTAATTTGATTATTAATCCTATTTTTTTATTTTTAATTTTTAATTTCTTACTGAATTTTACTCCCTATACCCCAAGTTTCGTGGGTGTTTCCTATGTAGCAAGCAAAGCAAGCCTTAAAAGGAAGGGAAAACGAGGATAGAGGTATCCCATGCATGTGAAACGCATGAAGACATTCCATAACCAAATGTGAACATATGACTGGATAATCGAAGATACTAGTCTCACAAATCTTAGTGGACCATATGAAAAGATTCCAGAATGAAGAAGAACCACGTGGGTAGTCCCATGTATGTTGAGCAGTGTTTTAAAACCCGGACCGACCCGGCCGGTCGGACCGGTTGGACCGGGAACCGGTGGTCCAGCCGGTCCGAATCTGGAGTTGGATCGGTTATGCAGTCGACCCGTTTCAAACCGGATTGAACCGGTCAATTTTCCGGTTCAACCGGTGAACCGGTGGGTCAAACCGGTTCAACCACTTTTTTTTTTTTTTTTTTAAATTTTTTTAAGGGACCATAAATCACAAAAATAATAATGAAAATTGAATCTCTTAATGAAAAAGCAAGGAGTCTTATTAAATATAACAATGACTACTTGTTCTAATATATTTGTTTGCAATATATACAACTTAAATAACTTTTATAGTATATTATTAATTTTAAATTATATATTTAATAATTCAATATCTATGTAAATATTACATATATTATTTTGTGATATTAATTGCAAGCATATTATATATGTACATATTATTTATATTTTTAATTTGTATTAATATACCGTTTAACATGTAATTTTTTTATGTATTTTTTTACAAAATAAAAATAAAAATAATTTTAAATAAGATAGAAAAATTTAAATTTAAAATAAGATATGAATTTATTAAAATTTATAAGTATAAATATATTTAATATGAATATTTTTTAATAAAAATAAATAAAAATCGAGTCATGCGGTTCAACCAGTGACCCACCGGTTCAACCTTTGACCCACTGACCCAATACCTTAACCGGTTCGATGACCGGTCCGGTTTTTAAAACTATGATGTTGAGGCATCTCGCGTCGCCTGCGTGTGAAATCAAAATCCTCACAGTTCTGCCAATTACCAACCAAAACCATTTATATATTACTAATATTTGGATCAAATATTCTCTTCCCAAGGATGGTTCAGTGGTAGGGGTTGATCCACGCTTAAGCAAGATCAGGGGTTCAAATCCTACCTTGTGTATGCAGCCGCGTTAAATCTTGGGACCAGCTATCCCACCCTTTGAGGTGCCTCCAACATAGCGAGGAGATTAGTCTCCTACCTTGTGTATGCAGCCGCGTTAAATCTTGGGACCACCTATCCCATTCTTTGAGGTGCCTCCAACATAGCGAGGAGATTAGTCACTGCTGTCGGCGGTGGATACACTCCAGGGACAAACCAAAAAAAAAAATATTCTCTTCCCTCCTATGTCCACCCCACCTTTGTCATATTACAAAAAAATCTCTCCTTTTATACAGAACGTGTCTTTTAAGAATATAATTATAGAAAGAGATGATAAAATCTTTATTTTAAGATAACAACATGACACACAACCCTAAAGAATAAATAAAAATATTAACTTAAAATGTTCAAAATCACGTGGAATTAATAAAAAGAATCTTAGAAGACTTCTGCCAGCGCTAGCTCCTAAGATATTTATTAATATAAGGTACATTGGAATAATTTTTTCAAAAATATTTTTAAGATAAAAATAAAAATAAATTTCTTTATAAGATGAAACTAATTTTTGAATAAGTTAAAAATTAAAATTTTTAAAAAAGTTATATAAGAAAACTCTTACAAATTAATTTACTCAGTGACTTTAATTTTAACCTTTAACAAGCATGTTTCATGAAAGGTAATTCTTTTCACATCAGATAAAGCACTAAGAGTGGACAATGAGAACTTTCAGATTAATTTGAACATAAGAAGATGGGAGGGTAATTTCATCACTATAATAATTTGCACCTACATCCATGAAACGTGGCAATTATAAATAAAGGCCACGCCCCCTCATCAACCATGAGCCTTTCCTTCCTTCCATTATTTGTTTCTTCACTCATTTCATTAGAATCTGGTTCTGACCTCAAAATATCAGCTTTTGTAGTTCACACTATAGTTGGTTCTGTTCTGGTGTGCTTCCTACCCTGAATATATTATATACCCAACTCTCATTCTAGGTTCAATAGTTTTTATAGTCTAGTTTCATGAACTGTGATTGCCTCCTGTATGTTTCTGTTTATGTTTGATTTGATGCTATTATTGCTTAATGTATGAGGTTTCTGGTTTTATTTTCATAGTGTTGTTGTTGCTCTTGATTGTATATTGTAGTTTATTGTGTTATTTTTTGGCTTTTCGTCCTTGATTGATGTTTTTGTATTTCTTTCATTTCAATATCTTATCACGGAAACAGAGAAATTTAGCATGTTGCTCTGGTTTTGTCCTGAAAGAAGTTGAATTAGTTTTTTCTGGTAAATCTGTTTTTGTTTTCTTCTGCTTTGGAATCGAGACTTCAAAGCTTACTTTTTTCGGGAAAATATTTTTTTTTTCCTGTCTCGAGGATATTTAAATGAAAGTTGTTTGGGATTGTGACTCATTCATAACCGTGTGGACAAGAGAATACCAAAAAATTTGAGAATCATAAGACATGAAAGGCCTATAATACGACAAACACAAATCTTAAATTAATATAGAGTTAATGTTTTAAAAGCACGAGTCATTATGGATTGAGTGTGTTTCACGCATGGATAAAGTTGTTGCCTTTTAACAAAACAACCTCTTCGGTTTGATTAGTGAGAAAGTTTAAAAAGTAAAATGAAAAGAATACTAAATGCAGCTAGAAACGTCTAACATGGATTTGTGCAATTTTGGTTTCCAGCAAAATGTTTGATAAAGAGTGATGGATGAGTTTTAGCCTTTTTAGGTTCATGGTTTATTTGGTTTACACTTGTTGATAACTCACTTGTGTGTTCTGTATTTGTCAGATAATTCTCGTGCTGCAAATATCAAAATGGTTGGAAGTTTTGATGTTTTAGCTCTTGATTCTAGCACTAATGGAACAATGAAACTTTTGCCTGAGGATTTCAATTCCATGGCGTTTATACGAGATCATGTGCCACTCATAGTTGGAGACAGTGGCATTGGCAATGGGGAGGTTCAGAATGGCACAGAAAATGGGGAAAGAAAGATAGTACTAGGAAGACATATTCATACCACAGGCCATGAAGTCACGGAGCCTGATATAGATGATGAGGTTACTGGGGAAAGGGAAGCATATATGGCAAGTGTGTTGGCCAGATACAAAAAATCTCTTTCAGAAAGGACCAACTATCACTTAGGTTTGATACTATATTTGGTGTTTAATGTTTTTGTTGTGTACACAGCATGAGTTTGTTACTTTGTTCCATTAACTTAAAGAATAATCATTGTATTACAGGTTACCCTTATAATTTGGATTTCGAGTATGGTGCACTAGCTCAACTTCAGCACTTTTCCATCAACAACCTTGGAGATCCGTTTATTGAAAGCAATTATGGTGTCCACTCGAGGCAGTTTGAGGTTGGTGTTTTGGACTGGTTTGCGCGGTTGTGGGAACTGGAGAAAGATGAGTACTGGGGCTATATAACAAATTGTGGCACAGAAGGCAATCTCCATGGCATCCTAGTTGGGTTAGTTTCAGCTAGTTAACTAGTTTTGTGTAACTAACAAATTGTTAGTCTTCGATTTGTTAAAAAAGGTCTCAAGTTCTAATACTATAAGTAGAGAAAACCTAGTTGATAGGAGAGATATCACTGAAAGTGGTGCTACTCAAGATTTTCAATGAAAATTAATCATGAACGAAATTTATGGATAATTTATGTCAATAACATGATTATCCATAAAGTAGTTTTTATGTATGTTGTTTTTGAAACATGAATAATGGGGTGAAATGACTTTGCAGGAGAGAGGTCCTCCCAGATGGAATTTTATATGCCTCACAGGAGTCACATTATTCTGTTTTCAAAGCTGCACGTATGTACAGAATGGAATGTGTGAAGATTGACACTCTTTGTTCTGGTGAGATTGATTGTGATGATTTCAAGGCCAAGCTTCTTTGTCACAAGGACAAGCCAGCAATTGTCAATGTGAACATAGGTAAGTTTTTCCTCCTCTGTCTCTCTCTTTCTCTGTCTTATGCCTCTCTCCCAACTTAAAACTGAAGCTTTAAGCTCAGCAATAAAAAAGCATTTACTTTTAGTTTTAGTAAACTAAAAAGGCCACCTTGATAATGACTCAATATATAACATTCTTAATCAAAATAAAAATAAAAACGAAGTTTGTCTCGATTATTTGCTTTAGGGCTCACTCATTGTTGGATCCCAATTTACTCTATTTGATTCTGACTCTAACTTGCAGGTACAACTGTGAAAGGTGCTGTGGATGACCTTGATCTGGTTATAAAGAAACTTGGAGAAGCAGGATTTTCACATGACAGATTCTACATCCATTGTGATGGGGCTTTGTTTGGTCTCATGTTGCCTTTTGTCAAACGTGTAAGTGTTGAAATGTTTCTTTTTACCGTTCATTTTTTCGTTGCTACCCTCTCGTATTTTCTTACACAATTCAGGATTTGTTATCCTGCTTCTCTTCATGGTTGTCATTTTAACAAACAAATTTCAGTTTTACAAGCATAACCCTACAATTGAAGAGCATTTACGATATAAAGTCTAACTTTAAAGGCATCAAGTTATCGTATATTACAAATTTTACTATACATAATGTTAGAAACGAACATTTTTTTAATGCTTGTTCATCAACTAAATTTATATATCCCGATCTACCATTGATTATTTAAACTGCACTAGAAACTTTACAAAAACAAATGTACAAGAAACTGATTCAATATTCCAACTGTCATTTCAATGTTTTCTCAACCCTAATAAAATTTAAACATGTGACATCACTCAGAATAATTACTCATGTGATAGATATATGTAAACATGACCACGTTCTATATAATAAGTCTGTTAGTGTTTGCATATACCAAAAAAAATACTATATATTTTCTGTATAGAAACTCTTCTAGACTTGTTTGGATGCGTTTATGTATTGAACTGAGTTGATGATGATTTTGTAACGTGAAATGTGATCTCATGATGATCAGGCTCCAAGAATTTCATTCAAGAAGCCTATAGGCAGTGTGAGTGTTTCTGGTCACAAATTCGTGGGGTGCCCCATGCCCTGTGGGGTGCAGATAACACGAGTGGAGCACGTGAAGGCCCTTTCGAGGAACGTGGAGTATCTGGCTTCAAGGGACGCCACAATCATGGGAAGCAGAAACGGGCACGCCCCCATATTCCTGTGGTACAGTTTGAACATGAAAGGGTACAGAGGGTTTCAAAAAGAGGTGAACAAGTGTTTGAGGAATGCACACTACTTGAAAGGTCGTCTTGTGGATGCTGGCATTGGAGCAATGCTCAACGAGCTCAGTAGCACCGTTGTGTTCGAGAGACCTCACGATGAGGAGTTCGTGCACAAGTGGCAGCTTGCATGCCAAGGGAACATTGCCCATGTTGTGGTCATGCCCAATGTCACCATCCACAAACTTGATCATTTTCTTCAGGAGCTTCTGCAGAAGCGTGCTGTGTGGTTTAGGGATGGTAAGGCTAGACCTTATTGTATAGCTTCCGATGTGGGACTCGCAAATTGTCTCTGTCCTCTGCATAGGTGATTGTCATTTGTGTCATTATGTGTGTTTGTGGCAGTGCTGGCTTGGTCTGTATTTAGAATATATGGATATAAAAATTGCTGAAACAAAGGTTGCTTTAAAAATAAATAAGAAGAAAAGAGTGACACTAAAAGTAAATTTCTCTTTTTAATAAAAAATAAAGGAAGTGAGAAATAAAAAGGTTTGAGTTCCATACCTTACCCTCAATCAAAGAGAAATAGTGAACAAATTTCTTAAAAAAAAATAGTTTAATCAATTAAACTTTCATTTAATATATTAAAACTGTACTTTTTAAGTAAAACAAATGGAACCATTGTGTTAAAACACAGTAAGTTGTTGAGATCTTTGTTGACATTAATTTTTGTCTTTGTTATAAATTAATTTTATTTTATTAACGGACTTAAACACGGCAAGTTTATCGGTCGTTCAAGTAGTAAATTTAAATTGTATCTACAGGGGCTAGTAGGTAAAATAAACATTTAATGACTATTTGTGACTAAAGAATAATTCTAATTTTTCATAGATTGTCATGCAATTCAAATAAAGGTTATGACTATTAGAATTTCAAACTCATGATATAATTAGTGTGTGTGTGGAAGGGATAAGAAATGATATTGTGATTTTGTAAGATTGTGGGGTCAGATGTCATCGAACTTTACTCTGATGAATCTTTGTTCTCTTGTTACATTCATTGCCTAGTCAACCCATAAGTTTACTCAAACTTAATCCCTTAGAGCAAGAGCCTAGGTGCAGATAATAAATATCAATTCTTTGAGTATCCAATACATATACCTGCATTACGGGTTAGGGTTTAAGACTACTAATGGTCAAGCTCCATTCCTAGATACATTCCCACTAGGTATTTGTTTTAGAGCTAGTTCAAAAGGCTATTTTTCAATACCCAATGGACTCTATATCAAGCAAAAGAGAATCAAGCCAAAGCAAGCATTAAGAATAGAAACATACACAATAATGAACGAAACAACATATATATATATATATATATATCATTAATAACGTGAAGATTACATAAGAGTTTCGTTGGTTACATCTAACCCCACAAAATAATGGGTAGAACCGCTCAAAATAATGAGGGTAAAACAAAAATAGAGATGGAAGAGAGATTGAAGAACCAAAGGAAAGACCCATACACGAACAATCTCAAGTACCGGGAATCCCTTCCATAGCTCCTAGAAGTCGCCCAATGTGTGAATGAGGGAATGAGTCTCGAAGATTTGATCAAATACAAGCTGGGGGAGACATGATAGGGTTTACACGCCTGACGCGTTATACTTCGCGCCTGGCGCAGGGTCTTCCAGAGAGGTAATTACTCTCTGTCTCGAATCACGCCCGGCGCGGATGTGCTTATGCCCGACGTAATGTCTTCCAAAGAGTTTTGAGTGCTCTCTGTTTTGAATTGCGCCCGGCGCGGATGCTCTTGCGCCCGGTGCAATACTGAAGTGCAGAGGTAATGCTCTCTGTTTCTCAAGCCTGGTGCGGGTAGTCTGTGCTCGATGTAGGTACTCTTCTCCTGCTCCTTAGCTCCTTAAATTTTCAATCCTACGGGTCTTCAACCTCAACTCTCTAACTCAATACCTATACAAAAAATGAGGTGTATCAAGATATTGTTAGATAAATTTTTGGGTTAGCTATAGCTACACAAAAATTGAATTAAAAATAGAACAATTATATTGCAAGAGTGCATGGAGTGAGTGAAATTGTTCAAAAATTCCTATCTAAACATATGTATAAATGAGACTTAACATAAGTACAATCCATTATTTTTATAATCGATTAAATCTTTTATTTAAATAACAAAGTAAAAGTTAATTTTAAAAATATATTTTGATTTTAATTTTAATTTTTAAATTTATTTTCTACTGTATTTTTATTTATTTATTACTTATTTTCACTTTTCAATTTTTATAAATTTCATTTCTTACCTATTTCTTTTCAACTTACCAAACATAATATTATCTTTTTTCTATATTTTTTTATTCCCTTAAACTAAACAACTAAATTTTTACTTTTTTTTTTCTTCATATTTTCGCTCATAATTCTTTATTATCTATTTCTCTCTACTGTAATTTTTTTAACCTATTTTTCTTCTTCTACCAAACGGATCCAAAAAGTGGTTTGACAAAATTAAAAGTGAAAAAACGATCACTTTTCTATTTTAATGATTTTACATGTTTATTCATTTAATGAAATATTAATATGAAAAAGACATTTCGTGTCTATACTACATTGAATTAAAAGAAAAAAAAATTATGAACAATTTTAAAATAAAAAGACATGTGCAGTTATTTATGAGAAATTTCATAATACAATAAATAAATAAAAAAAAGATACTGATGCAACAAAAAATAGTTTAGGAAGTCACAGAAAATATAAAAAAAAAGGTTAAAATGGTTCACATTAAAATAAACTAAAAACTATTATCTATGTACTCTTTATATAGTCATATATATAGATAAATTTGTTTTTTAAAAATATTTATACATTAGATCCTACTTATTGTTTTATTTTTGACTTATGAAATATCGAGATTGACTTTAGCTCACAAAATATAATTTGTGTTTGTAATAAATGATTTAAGTATCCTGTATTAATCTTTATGTTGTGATTCGTGAAGTCAGAATAAGAACAGTAAATTTTTTACAAATAAAGATATTATATGGGAAACAATTAATTCCATGGTCATTAGCTAAAGTTTCTTAAAGTATAAGGCTTATAACTGTAGCCGTTGAAAGTTTCACAAACCCATTAATATATGTTCGCTGTATTCATTGGTTTTAAGGCTTCAAAGTGGTACATAAATAAAAAATAATATGAAACATATTACTTTTTATATAATTTTATTAAAATATATAGTTTTACGTACTCTTCCAATAAATATTTTACTTTTAAGTATGATTTAATTGAAGATTTTACTAAGAAACAAATTATAAAAAAATATATTTATTATTAACTCCTACATATTAAATATAATATTTTATCTAGCACGAGAATATTTTTAAGAATTTTTTTCAAAGAAAACTTTTTTTAGAATTTTTTAATTTCTTATCTAAATCAATTTTTTTTATTTATCATAATTATTTATAAATTAAATTTTAA